CTTCTTAAGTCTGAATATTATATTTTCTAGAAATTTCAAAGTTCTTTTTGTTCTGTAAATTTGTTGTTTCATAAAAAGATATCGATCGATTGTAATTTTACTTTCTTCTTACAAATATTATTATAGAATTAAATTAGCATTAATGGAGCAAGTGAAAGTTTTAAATGAATATTATACTAATCTAAATTATGATGATAAAAAACAACATGTGAGTATTGATATGTGCAGTGTATAATAATGCATTGTTGATAATTTGTGAGATTTAATATTATTGCTAAAAGAATCTCCATTTTGTGTATGTAACATGTAATACTGTTTTATATGCATATTTTTAGGAACTATTGGAGAAGTTAAATAATATATATAATAGGATATTCGAGTATAGGTTTAAATACAACGATGATTTGATAACGAGGTAAATAAAGATAGAATTTTAAAATGGAATAATAAGAGACATAGAGATTGCTTTCATTTTTATTAGTTTATAATGTTCTCATTTCTGGACAGATTGCAGATACTGATAGAGACAATACATCAAAATATGCCATTTTTTTCATCTATTTTTAAACACATAGATGTGATCACTACTATTTTACACTATTTAACTGAATACTCTCAGATAATCGCTAATAAATTAGAAGTAATTTTAGGTACCGTAATATAGGCTACAGTAATATTATTCTCGCATTTGCAATTGAAAAATATTATTTATATTTTTAGTTTTTTTTTCTGATAAGTAAGAATAACAGATAACATAATAACAAACGTATTAAATTGATTATTTATGAAAGTTTTATAACTTTTATGTACTTTTAATGTTTTTGTAGACTACGTTAATGAGGAACTACCCAGTTTGTTAGTGATTACACTCATTACAATGTGCACAGGATCTATAATGAATTCATTTTTTCTAGATTGTCTCATGTAACTATGTATTAAAAATTCTCTTCACTAATGTAGTTATTCTCATACTTATTTATCAAGAAATTTTTATATTAAAATTAATATTTTATAAACTTTTTCTAATATCTTTTTCTATATTTTTTAGAGATGTGTCACAGAATATTCTAGACATGTATGATGACATACATTCTATTATAAGACACGGTACAAAGAAACATTTATTCATATTGGACGTTTTCCAACAAAGACAATTGATATAATAATAACATAAAAAATTGTTTCATCCTTATTGTTCAATGATAAACAATGATGAAATGATTCACTGGATCTACTTACTATGTCATCTGTCTCTTGCTGGAAAATGCCCATTGTGTATTATTTAATGTGTGTTATTTATAAAAATATGTTTTTGTCTTATAATTAAAATTTGTTATATAAAATGTATTTATACAGAATCTTATACAAGGAGTGAAATGATAATCTTAGAAGATTCGGATTTGTATGCAATTATTAATTATTTAATAATAACAGATCATTTTCCTTTACATAAAATATGGGTCCAAAAACGAGTGAATGAGAAATTTGTATGGCTCTTGAAGAATTATCGTTCTGAATTATCCATAACTATTGATACATTCCAATCATTGAAAGATATTCAATTTCTTCCATGTAACAACAAAATAAGTATAGTATCCATATGGTCAGAAAATGTTGTAGCTGCGAAGAATTTTGCATTATCTATAAATGTATATTATTTAAAATGTTTAAAAATAGTTGCCAAGAATTATTTTGAATTTTATTAAAATTTTTTTTCTATTTCATAATTATTCAGAGTTACCACCTAGTATTTATAAATACATATATGGATTTCCATGGTAGTAATCTACTTTGGATTTATAAACACTTGTATATAATTCAAATGAAAACTGAATATGTGATGTCGAATATTAATTACGAAAATGAATCAATTAATCAAGATCAGGAATCCAGTACGAATACGGTACATTTATCATCTGTTGTAAAAATAAATGATATTTTTGTTGGCGATCTTTTTTATGATGGTGCGTGGCAAAAACCCATAAAGGGCATGTATTGGAAGCATAATAACTGTTTATGGGCAAATGCAACACAGTAAGAATGCACACATTTCCTTAATATTTAAATTTTATTAGATTAACTGAACATATTATAATCTTCACTTAAATTTAAAAAAATTTTAAAAACATCAAAGTTTTAATCAATTAATGTATATATTGTTATTACAGTAGCGATATAAGAAAATGCTATCTATCTGCTAGGGAAGGATTCAAAACTTGGAGTAATATGTCTATTAAGGCTAGAATACAAATATTATCTGGATTTGTACTCGTATTAGAACTTACTGGGTAAATGAAAGTTATCCCGAAAACAGTTTTTATATATATATCTATACTATATCTTTTATATATATATATATATATATATATATATATATATATATATATATTTGTTTATTCTTGATAATTTATTACCAATTATCTCTTCGTTTTTCATTTTTAGAAAATTTGTATTAGCAACTATAGTAGACAGATGGATAAAATTTCCATATTTGTACGACTTTATACAAGGACACATTGAAAATAAAACGAGAGAAATATTATATATTCGTAAGCCATTAAGTGTTATCATACTTAAAGAGGAAAATGAAAACATTTTGTTTTTTCGATTGATACAAACTTTAATTGCTGGCAACTCTGTCATTGTAATGTTTGATGCAAACTCCTATAATCCGTCATTATATTATGACATGTTTTCGACGTGTGGAGTACCTCCAGGTGTTATAAATTTATTGTCACATGAAAATACAAGTACGATGGAATCTAAATTATGCTTAGAAGATTACGCAACGTACGCAGCTAGATATTTCTTGAAAGGCACTTCGTTGAAAACATATACTATTCCATTTAAAAATCTTACTGTACCAAGAATAATTATAAGCCTTCTTCAATAATTTTGATAATTTATGGCATGGATGTAGTATTAATTTGTGTTAGATATATGTTTAAAAATATAAACATCTTGATACATTTACTTTAATATTATGATTTCAGAAAAATATTTTGTCATTGACTGATCAAAATAAAGATCAATAATTTATAGATAATCGTATTTCATTTTGTAAATAAAGACTAACATTTATCCAGATTATGTTTTTATTTATGTATTTTTATTTGTATACGTATGTAAAAAATTGTAAAATTATTGTTATAAATTTAATGCTTTCACACACTCATGTTTCTAAAATGCGTTTTCCGTAGATATTAATTTTTAGTGATTAAAAAAAGAAAACAAATTTTATAGTATATTTTTTCTTTTCAAATATTTCATGTATGCAGATATAAATGCAGTATAGAAGTTTTTAGTTAATTAACTAGAAATGGATGGAGAATACACAAATGAATATGTTAATTTTTTTCTGTAATATTTTTTGTTACGTATATCTGTTTTAAACTTTATTTCGTATCTGTATGCAACAAATTAGTCAGATTGTTAACAATTATATGGATCAGCATGTTCCTTACTTTAGTATAATTATTATTCGTTATAAATGCATTATAAAATAAATCAGGTAATATCATTTTAGTCTATTCTTAAAATGCTGGTAAAAGTTGAATATTATCCAGATAATTGGAAAGGAAAACCTATTAATAAATAAAATGAATATATTATTGCTACATTACGCAGCGTGCTGTGACAACGTCTAGTTCCCTCAAGTCTAGTTTCTGTTACATCCCGATAAAATCCTCTTATTCTTTAGATATTCTTCATAGATACGATTTATACTTTACTTTTATCTTATCGCTAGATGTCCCTATTTTATCTTCGAAAATTCCATTTCTCTTTCATAAGAGGGTATATTCAGTATCTTTATTTAATTTTCAACATTTTAACATTCAAACTAACAGATAGATCACGTTATATACTTTTATGCGTCATAAAAATTATCTACAGATTATTCTAGAAAGAATGTCTAAGAATCTCACACGATCTTTCTCAAAGAAGCCCTCTTATAAAATAACAAATATAAAAGCACATTAACATTAATAATAATGTATATTATATTAGCGTTTAACGATTAAGTAATTAAGTTTAACGATTAGCAGTAAAATAGAAATCTTCCTGAATGCGAGAACGAATATCTTTTTTTTTCCCTTTTTCTTTTTCTAATAAAATTAAATTAATTTTAAACATATGAATGTAGTGAATTCGCCTCGCATAAAGGATATTAAGGAAAATCGAATTTTTATTACAACAAATTGTTAAAACTCAATCATTACTTATTAAGAATAAACTTGTAGAGTGGGGAGTAGGGCTTTCGCGGAGCCTTGCTGCCTTATCTCAAGGAAAGCGAGTATAGTATTTCTACCAAATTTTGAGGAGTGTCGATTGGTTCTGAAAGGATACTCCCACACTCATTTTTAGAATATAAAAGGAGCTGCCAAAGACAGAAACTCAGTGCTCTTCTTTTCCTATCCTCGATTAATTCATCAGTCACCCAGCCAGACAGTCAGTTAGTTATAACTATTAAGGTGAGAACTATCCTCGCGTTTCATCAGAACCTCACTTCCCTGTCACAGGGAAATACTCGACTATAGTTTGTTGGTTCTTACATTCTGATCCAGATTAAACCCTCGGTGGAAACTAGGCCAATGATAGACATATTGCCACTACGACTACTGCGGTTTTCAAGGGCTGTGTTCCAAAATTGATTGCCAGCGCTACAGGTATGTGGTTATAAAAAAATGCTACCAATTTGAAATGTGTATTCGCACTAATTGCATGCTTACTAATGGCTCCCGTACACAGAACGCGGCAACGTTTGTCGCGCGGCGGAAGTTGGCATTGAAGATTTAAGATTGAAATTTCACCAATGAAGGCAAAGAAATTTTGGCTTCTTTTGTTCTAATTGGTCAAATTTCAATCTTATTCTTCAATGCGTCTGATTCCAGCTTTATGGCTTCTGCACACTGGACGCTTGTCGCGCGGCAAAATGAAACGCGTTAACCAATGAACACATTAGGAGCTGTAAGCTTATTGGCTACCGCACATTTTGCGGCGCGGCAAGCGTTTCTGCGTCCAGTGTGCAGAAGTCATTAGAATCTGAGCACAAGAATTGTAACACTTACTTAGACTTAAATTGTGACGTAAGAAATGCACAAGCTTTCATGTATGACGTACAACTTATTACCATATCTCCAAGAGACGACAATAGATCGTACGTTATACGCCAAACGTACCCTTAAGCCATGATCAGACTATGTATTGGAGATTGAGATTAATAATTGATGTTCGATTAATGAGAACAGAGCAGGCCGAGATTGAGATTGCAGATTGAAATATAGGACTCCATCTATTTTTCCAATCTTCAATCTCAACCAATAAGCTTCCAGTATTTAAGTCACATTACTAACCTCGCGTTAATAACCTCACCAAATATATTATATATGTACAAAATAATAAGTTATAAAAGCTTATAAGTACAAACACAGCACAATTAAAACGTGTAAGTACAATTAAATGCGTATTTAATAATTTTTATTATGTGTGATTCTAGCTATTCGATATTCTTACTAATCTCGATCTTAATTGCTGTTGGATACAATTCATAGTGTGATCGAGCAATCTTCAATTTTAATTTCAATCTTAATTTCAATCTCAATTTCCAATGCATAGTCTGATCACGGCTTTACGCATGATGCATCATTTGTCCTTGTTGTTCACCAAATAATAAAGAAGGATAAAATAATATAGCATACGCTTCATGCGTGACTTGGAACGCATCCCATGTATACTAGATTGGACGCTTTCTAATAGGATGAATCTCTTATTGCCTGTACTTTTCATTGTGTTTCCTTCACATTTTTGGAATCATTTCACCTTTGTTGTTTATCAGTTAAATAAAGAAAAATGATGCTCACGAGCGGTGCGAGCATGAATTGGACCGTAATTTATGAATATCGCCCTTAGAAATCCTGGATTCTCACCAGATGGCGAAACGATACATGAGTTAAAACTGAGTGTTCGACTTCGACGCTTCGACCCCGCCAGATCATCACCATTCACCAAGAACGCCAGAGTCTCCTTCTTTTCCGGTACGCTCTTTTGGGTGACCGTGTCTTGTTTAGTTTTTAGCTGCAGTTGAATCTTTCTCCATCTTCCACTATGAAGATTTATAAAGATATTTTCACCGGTGAGTAAATAAGAAACGGCATCCGCGATCACACAAGCCAAATATTTTTCATTTTCGTTACTGAGACACAATAAAATACCTACATGATAATAGCATTTCACAGCGATATTTAAACATATTGAAAAATATTTCTGTAGCCTTTCTCTGCGCGAAATTACACTCAGGCTTCGATGTTTTACGACAAATTAGCAAGATTATTATATTAATAATTCAGTTTTCCTATAAAATGACTATTAAATTTCTAACCTCTCCACGTGTTCTGGAAAATTCGTAGGATTGCAGGAGCAATATACTCGTTTAGTTATAAAATTATGGAATCTATACTCCATCCAAAATAAGATGTTTAAGTCTAGAATTACAAAATTTTGTATATATTTTAGGAGATGAAATGTTCTCTGATACCTACAAAATCAAGCTGATAGATGATGTATTATATGAAGTATATGGGAAGGTATATATCTCTCTCTCTCTCTCTCTCTATATATATAATATATATATATATATGTATATATTTATGAAGTGTAAAGAGTAATGGCATAACATTTTTTAAATTAATTATTGTAGTTAGTTACTCGTAAGGCGGGTGATGTTGAAATCGCTGGTTTTAATCCATCTGCCGAAGAGGCTGATGAAGGTACAGACGAAGCGGTAGAATCTGGCGTAGATGTTGTATTGAATCATCGCCTTCAGGAAACATTTGCCTTTGGAGATAAAAAGTCTTATACATTGTACCTCAAAGATTACATGAAGAAGTAAGTATCTTTGTATATAGATTTCAATTTATTTGGCTGTAATAATAAAACAGTGAAAAATTCTACTATTGTATACAGTTGACTGAACTAAGAAAATATATCTTGTATCATGTTATTATTTATACATAACTAATAATTATTTATAAATAACTAATTAAAAATCCTGAGGATTAAGAAATAATTAAAAAGCTTTTAAAATTGATAAATTAAGATGAGTTATATTTGTATGGATTTTTTATTTATTTATATAAATAAAAATGTAAATTTATTTACAATATAACTTATATAAATTTATTTACAATATAATTTATGTACAATATTTATATACAATAATGTATTCTACAAACATAAATATATTTGTTAAATTCTTTTTATAGATTAGTAGCAAAGCTAGAAGAAAAGGCACCTGATCAAGTAGATGTCTTTAAGACAAAGATGAACAAAGTCATGAAGGACATCTTAAGCCGGTTCAAAGAATTACAGTTTTTCACCGGTATTTCAATGGACATCGATGGAATCGTGGGTCTCATGGAATACCGCGAGATCGATGGCGATTCCGTGCCAGTATTGATGTTCTTCAAGCATGGTCTTGAAGAAGAAAAGTTCTAAGTATCTAATCTTTAGATACTGAATAAATTCTGGATAAATTTTGTGAGTCATTCTTATTATTAATAGTAATAATTAATAGTATATAATTAATTAATAGTATATAATTAATTAATAGTAATAATTAATAATATATAGTTAGTGATATTAATAAATTATTAATTAATATTAATATTAATAATAATTATTATTAGAATAAAATATTAAGAATTTATCCTATAAATAAGATATACATGTAAATATTCGTGACCAACACGTTTTATCTGTGTTTGTCACTGCACGAACATGTTAGATCAAATTGGAAATAAGATTCTCGCTACGACGACTTTCTAGGCGTAGCGTTTACTATTAACCAGACATCTTTATAATGCAAAATCTTATTTCGATTCAAAGTCCATTGTCAGAAATGTAGATCTCTTTTGCATATGTCCACTGAT